GCCCTATTTCTGACTTAGCGAAGTAAGGGAGGAGTGCGTCCTGTGGCCGGGGATCGAACCCCGGCCTATATGCATGGTTGGCGAGCGTCCTAACCGCTATGCCACCGACGCTATCTGTTAGTTAGTTTACATATGTAGGGTATATAGGTGATTTTTGCGATAGCTTATATTATGAGAAAGTTTTTCTCTGCCTCAAATTCTTTTTTTATCTTCTTTCTCACTTAATATATAATGATAACATCAATAATTGACCTCATTTTTGAAATGGGCTAAATTAGCTGACATGACACTGATGATGATGATGATGATGATAACTGTCAGGAATGATGTTAACGAGAATGTTAATGAAGATATGCATTGTTGATACACATGATCTAATGGCTAAAGTAGGAAGTAGGTTAGGGAAAATTAGTCGAGATGAACAAATAAAGTAATAATAATAATAATAAAAAGTTCACTGAAGTTAAAATATGTTTCTGGTGATTATTCTGTTTCCCCTGCATCTTTGATGACAGAAATTAAATTAACTTTACATTTTTTTATCACCATTATAGGGATGGATAGATAGATAGATAGATAAACTGTATACGTAGTTGGACAGATAGATGGAGGGAATGTAAAGACTTTTTAAACTAGGGAGATGTAAAAGATGAGAAAATAAAGTTAGGATAAAATTGTACACACATTAACAAAGTAACAACATCTCAACAACACAAAACAAAACAAAAATTGAAAATTGAGGTCAGTTTCCTATATGAAATATAAGATTATTTAGTGAAATTAGGACAAAACTAATTTTTGGATTATTGAGTTTAGCCTTCTGTTTATAGTGATGCAATAAAAGAAGTAATGAAGCAACTTTTTCAAAATAATGAAATGCTAAATTTATTTATCTTTTTATGTCACAACAGTATCATTACTGTCCTGAAATATACTTGTTTTCTCTGAAATGTATTCATGGAAAGATAAAGTTGAGAGGTGTAATTAATAATAATAATTTTTCCTTCACGTTCCCAGTGGAACATAGGGCTCCAAGCTAGTGGCTTGAAGTTTCTGTAGCAGTGTTTAATTTTTACAGGATGGGGTTGCTAGCCTCATGCCCAACCTTTCCTCTTTACCAGCATTATTTCTGGCTCAGTGAGGTAAAGGAGTGCGCCGGCCGGGGATCGAACCCCGGACCATATGCATGGTCGGCGAGCGTCCTAACCGCTATACCACCGACGCACGAGAGGTGTAAATGAAAGCAATTGCCTTCTGTGAAATTCACACCAGTAAAATGAACATTTAATAATAATAATAATAATAATTTGCTTTACTCCAAAATAGTACTTGTGATACAGAATGAAATTCTCAGCCTTTTACTGCAGTATTGCATCCAGTGAGTACATTATCAATAAATAAAATTCTACATAGATTAAGGTAATCTCGGTTCATTATGACAACATATTAGCATATCGGTAGCGAAGCCAAAAGTGAACATAGTGTTTGAAGGTGTTAGGAAAGTAGATGCCAGCATATTTACTGGCGTGAGCGGAAGAAAGAAACAAAAAAGCACAGAAAAAAGAGAGAGAGAAAAAAGGAAAAGAGAGAAAGAAAACGTTGTACCTATAAATGATATGAATTGGAAAGACGAGATCCAGTTGTTCTATTAACTATTTAATAAGTTATAGGTATCACGCCTAATGCTTTCTTTATCGCACAGAACACGAGCTTAATAGGGTATGGTTGAGGTTTTGTACTTACTAGTGCGAGCATATAGCCTTCTACAGAGGTTTCTGGTTTTGTGTGATGAGACACAAGGGGAGAGTTGTGAATGAAGAGGGTGGTGTGAGTTAGATAAAATGGATTTGGCCCATTTTCCACATGAGTCCAAGTGCCTGTCAACCAGAATATTAACAAGCTGGTTGAGTGGCACATCGCTTCCCCTGCTGACAACCTTTAACATCTTGCGTAATAAAGCAATGTCTTTCTTCAGTAGCCCAGGAAAAACTGAGGTGAAACAATAGAGAATAATAGGCAGGATGCAAGAGTTAACGAATCTTAAGAGTAAAGATTGGGTTATACTAGAGTGTCTTAACTTCTTGATGTAGAAGGTAGGACGGAATATTTTCTTAGAAATCATCAAGATATGAGATGACCAGGAAAGATGAGCAGATAGAATGATGCCTAGGTATTTAATTTTTGACTTGGTCTCTATTTCAGTGCCATCTATGTTGCACACCTCGTGAGTTCTAACCAGTTTGTTTAGATCACATTTATGCCTACAGGTGAAATTGACTGTTTGGCATTTGGAAGGGTTTAAGGTAAGACCGTTTTCCTTGGACCACTGGCTGACTTCTGATAAAGAGCCGTTTAATTTAGTGCAGTCACTTTGACATTTGACAGGCAAAGATTTATCGGACATACAAACGATTTAGAAAGTAGCTTAGGATCATTTTTATAAGATGGCTGTAGGCAGCCATCTAATAATAACAGTTCAGAGTATGGTGGCCACTGTGCAGACAGGGGACTTGATGCATGCCACTAGTTACTTATAATCTCTAGTGTTTAATCATTGTAGTGTAGTTTAAGATCATTAGCTAAGTGCAGTGAGTAAAAATTCCACATTCCTTACTGTTAACTGCTTGCACTGGTGTATATATCAGTTATCGAGTCTGCTAGCAGGTAATATGTAATCAAGGTTTTATATAATTACATACCGATTTTCTTGAACGCCATGTCTGATAATATTCCCATTATGATAATTGTAGAACACGATTTAAGCAAGCAAATATGTATTTTCGGTGAATTCTTATCAGGCTCTGCAGTCGCTTAACATAATAGTATGTTATTGTATCATTATCCCCTTTGGTTCCGTCTGGAGCACAGGGCTTCGACAACACATCCTCACTTTGTTCTCTTTTCTGCTGTCCTATTCAGCTGGGTCAACGATTGCCTACAATCTCTTATCTCCTCCTCGCTACATGACCTCCTCTATATCACCCTTGCGCTGACAACCCACTTGTCACTTCCCATTGGAGTTCCACCCCTCCATCACCTCCATCATCTTTTTGTTCACGCGGAATCCTGTATTCGTTGCTTCTTCAGCCAGTTTGTCTCTTTCCGCTTGCAAGCCTTTTTGTGTGGCACTAGACATATATCATCTGCGAGATTCAGATCTTCTAGAGTTTTCTTGTCGGTCCAGCGTATTCTTCTCTTGACACTCTCTACACTCTGAACCATAACCCAGTCCACCACAATTAGGAATATCATTGGTGATAAGAGGCAGTCTTGTCCTATTCCTGTATTCAAATCAGACGCCTCGCTGAGTTTTCTGTTATGAATCACCTGACTCGTGGCACTGTCATACAGCTGATGAATCAAAATAATAAAGATTTAGGCACACCGTAGTGTTGGTTGACGCTTTCGAAGTCTACGAAGTTGAAGTAGGGCTTTGACTGCCATTCTATGCTTCGTTCAATGACAATGCATCAATTTTGTGCTGTGTGTCCTACGATAAAACACGCCTGACTATACGGCCTATGTAAATGGCTCCACAGGAGCAATCAAACTGTTAGATACACATGGAATAGGTGAAATAAGACAGTTTATCTTTAACTCCCGAACGCAGAATAGGAGTGGTTTTGAAGACACAGTAAACCTCAGCAGTACATTTTACCGCCGTATTCCTTAAGCGCTGCGTTAATATCTCAGTGATGTTATCCCTGAGGAACTGAGATTGTAAGAGAAAGACCTTTTCCAAAAATAATGATACCTTGACCTACCATCACTTTTGATTCTTCTTGTCGATGAATTCTTCTGGGTGACAGTTCTCACTTAGTAAGTCTATAATAATATTAAGCTATTTGTATTCTTATTCAGCAGTTATCTAAAGTCCTCACTACCCTAAAAACCCTGGAAATATCGATTATTTCTATGCCTAACTTAGCATATTTTATAAAATATAACAATGATAAGAATAACAAAGCTGTATTTCAGACAATATGTGAATACGTAGTACAGAAATTTGCAAAGAATTTAGTTTCAACCTATTTTCGTCTTCGTACAGGATCTGCATGTGAAGTTATAACCTGGAGTAAATCACATGACGTAGTGTTGTTACGTATGAAGCAAGAAAAACATTAATGTATATGTTTTCTTCATTTCCTTGAAGAATTTCACAGTGTTTAGCTGGAAGCTAATTAAATATACGCGCGATTTCATGCAGTTATCATATGGCATAATTTCATGATTAAAACAATAAGAAATGCAGAAAAGTTTAAGCAGCATTTTGAAGAATGGAATTTCCCGGTGGCTCATTGATTTAAACAGCCTGTTGAAGAATTTTTGCTTATTTCCAAAACAGTATATCAACAAAAAATTCGAATTTTTAATACAAACAACGTCAAGTCAGTCAGTTTTTCTATACGGATCAGAAACTTGGCGGCCGGGTCACAAAGAATATTTCTAACAGCCTGTTGAAGACCAGACCTTTATCAACCAACAACTGTCTTTGCTGGATCTATACTGAAGATCAGATGGCTGGGCCAGGCCGGAAACAATCACCAACAAGAAACTATGGGAACGAACAAACAAACAAAACAAGAACCAATCGCTAGCCAACAAATATGCGTGAGAAAGTGGAGATGGATGGATTGGACACTCGCTCGCTGAAGAGGCACAGCGCTGGGTGACATCGCGCGCGCGTCAGGCCATTGCTCGAGTGGAACCAGGCTGAAGGGGAAGCACACGGCTAGTGGGAAATCAGTGCAAGGGTGACATGGAGGAGATCGTGTGAAGAGGAGTTGGTTGAAAGAGTATGGACTAACATGGATGGATGGATGGAGGTGAAAAGTACAGCAGAAGGAAGACAGAAGTGGCAAGTGGAGACGTGCAGTTGAAGCCCTATGTTCCACTAGGAACCCAAGGGAACAATAATAATAATAAATACCGAAACAGTGTTGTTATTGATAAAGTCGATATCTTCAATTTTTTCTTCCTTTTTTCCATTTTACTTTTAGAGAATGTAAAATCATCAAAGATATGCATACCCAGAAGCCTAAAGGATATGGATTTGTAGCCTATTCCACAAGACAAGTAAGTAACCGATATTTGATGAAACACTTTATCTAAATACTACACTTTACTGCGTCTTTTTCAAACTTTCAACACATGATTATACATTCATCGGACACTAGTTAGTAGGTTACTAGCGTCATGCATCAAGTACACTGCTTGATGCCGACTAACTTCTGCCTGGCGTCCAGTCAAAGTATGCAATACAGTCCTAAATAGGGTGAATCGCAAGCCCGAATATCTCAGTGATGATGTCTTTAACTGCAGCACTGAACGGTGCAAGTTCGAATCCTTAAAAGCGTATGAATTCCTTGTGGCTGCTGAATGTCAACAAGAACGAAACCTAGATCTAACTGGATTTACTTCCGATTGCCCCCAACCATTTAATAACTAATATTTAGCTCTGCAGAGTCAGTTAAAATAAGAATAATCTATGTACAGTTTATGAATCAAAACATGCTCTTCCCTTCTTTTTTACTGTTTTAAATGTTAATCTGTTAGCTGACAGTACAAGATGTAATTCTGAATCATTCAACCACAGGATCAGATGTAAAGCAAAAGTTTTCAATTCATGATGGAATAATGAGGTTTTGTTATTTAGTCATCTAATGTGAAGATAATATTCCTTTTAAAATGAAGGAATCAGGACATTGTGTGGAAATACGGTCATAGTTTTATTTATTACTCAATTTGTTTTTAAATTAGAATAGTATTATTTCCACTGTTCTAGTCTGAATGTGAACAATTAAATTCATTTCCAATCCTATCTGGAGGTAATTGTCTTTTTTCACTATACGAGTTAACGAATGAACTTTGGAGTAGTTAAAGTCTCTATTTCACTACACTCTACAAAATTTAAAAAAAAAAACTATTCAACTTGTAATTAACACAATATAGTATGTGGAATGTTCCTCTAATTTATTCAGAATGGAAAATAATTCGAGCAAACAGTCCTACTCAATAAAATCTCCTTCAGACTCTACAGTTATAAATCCATTCATTTTGACCTACAATAACCAATAAAGACAAATGAGAATTACTTCAGAAAGCGTATTGTGAAACAAGTACAAGATGGAATAATAATCATTTAGTTTTGATGATCACTTAGAATATACGTAAGGATAATAAAAATGAGGTAAAGTGAGGTGAAATAATTCCGTGATATATATACTACATATATGCCCAAAAACGTACAGGTTTCAAAGTGTGAGTGTAGTCAGTATAATAATAATAATAATAATAATTTTTCCTTCACGTTCCCCAGTGGAACATAGGGCTTCGAGCTAGTGGCTTGAAGTTTCCTGTAGCAGTGTATTTATTTTACAGGATGGGGTTGCTAGCCTCATGCCCAGCCTTTCCTCTTTACCTGCTTTATTTCTGGCTTAGCGAGATAAAGGAGTGCGTCCTGTGGCCAGGGATCGAACCCCGGACCATATGCATAGTTGGCGAGCGTCCTAACCGCTATGTCAGTGATGTGTAAGATAATATGAACACTACAGAGAAATAAACCGAAAAATGGGATAGACTAGACGTAAGTTTAAAAGGGTGATAAATAACAATAGTAGCGATTGTGTGATATCAACTTAAAATTACTATTAGTTAACGTTTTTCAAGTAAAAATCAATTTAGCCAAGTGGAATGCATATGTGATGACAAGTTCAAGAAGCATTAGGTAAACCTAAGGTAATAAACACATGATGAAAGTTAATCTGATGTTCACTAGTGACTGGCTACAGGATGAATTTGCCTGGAGTTCTTTTGAGAAGTTGTGACCAGTGGGGAGTAAGGTTGGCGTTCTCTCCAATGATAATGGTTGGTGGTCACGCTGAACAAAATTCACGGATTCTCAGAAGTTAGATTTGATTGGTTGACCATTGAATTGGGTCCCAGTGGCTGAATAGTATACAAGCAAGCTTGCCTTGTAACCGAAAGGTCGTAGGTTCGATAAGTCCTGGTTTTCATTGGTTCTCTAACTGATATCAATCCGTTGTCATGAATTCGTAAAAGGTCGGAAAGAATTAGCAACAAGAAACTCTGGGAAGGAATCAACCAAGAACATATTTTCCAAGAATAATTCCGAAGAAAATGCAGATGAGTGTGACACATGCTGTGTAGACCGTTGAGTGACATTGCGCGCAGTACAGGCTATCGCTCGAGTGAAAGGTGATTTGGAAACGGCAGTTTGAGCGTCTGTCCGAGCGTGACATGGTAGAGACTGTATGGGGGAACGGAGATAAGAACCTATGGGGAGTCGTCAGACCAGCTAAAGAGGACTGCAGACGACAGTAGTACTGTGGCCCAATATTCCACCCAGAACTCATGGTAAAATTAAGAACAATAATAATTATTATTATATATATTATAACCTGACTCCACACAGTATTTTCGACACAAGTATGGAATTTTCAGCGTGAGATATCGGTAGCCCAAATTTAGCAGGCCAACCACTGACACCAGGTGTGCGTCTGCTGTGGATCGAACCCCGGAAAATGTACATGATCGGCGAGCGTCCTAACTGCTGTGCCACTAACGCGCAGTTAGAATTTTATCATGTTCATCTGTTTTCCAGAGATTTTTCTATAGATTAAGTAATCGTGGAAAGTTCTGTATAAATGATTTGCATGTTTTACCTTACAAATCACACAAGAATTTTAAACTGAGAAGTAATGCGTGTGTGTATATATACATTGATATTTATATTATTTTTCTGTAAGGAAGCAGAGCGTGCAATTCGTATTATGAATGGTCAGATAATTGGTACTAGAGCGATAAGAACCAATTGGGCTGTACGTAAAGATCCAGCTGATCAAGCTAAAGGTAAGTCAAGATAAATTCCACTAAATTTACACTAAAGCGATTACTCAGTGTCTTGAAATACAACTATAACGTATCGACTTACTCTCTGTAATGCATTCAAATTTTGTGAAGCAAATGGAATTAGGGAGAAGTTTAACTTTAAGCACCACAGAAATGTAAAACACAAATCACTTAAAAAAAGGCTAATTTTACATAGAAAGTACATATATTTATAAAAATAATAAATAAAATGACATGGAACTGTTACACGGGACACCCTTTTCTGACGTGAGACGAAACTGCCTCCTGGTTTTGCACTAAAGTGTCAAAAGAATAATTAGACCACATTGTATACATGTATTCCTACAAGTAGTCTGATCTTAATTCAACTCTGAAGCCGAACTACCCCTAAAGTGGCTTTAGTAGAACTCGAACCAACCCCAATATATCTCTTATTAGTTAAACCAAACCCTGTTGTATCCTTAGCCTAAACTTAACCTAAAACTTACCGCATATCCTTTTTAACATGATAACATTTCATTAGACATATTTTATTCAAGAATATAGTATTATTTGTCTGGTCTTGACTGATTAAAAATGCCCATTGAGATTTTCAAAAGAATGGATGCTGAACAGAGAATTCTCTTTTGCGATAACCTGTTCTTCATCAGGTTCTACTGTTGTATATACATAATGGTGAATGAATGAATTAATGTTATGAACAACACTCATGTTGTTTAAACAAAATCGAATCAGTAATATCAATAGATTACAGCTCAATAGCATCAACATAAAATAAGCTGAATCTCAGAAAAATTAGGAAAGATAATATTACAAATTCATGAATTTGTACTCTCTACTGAAGGCTGGCTAGGAAGGGCAGTAGTAGGGGCTAGCTGGACTTGCTTCTTTTGAACACAGAGCACTGTTTGTTTGAGGCGAATTGCAATATCCACTGCCGTTTGGAGCATGCGGTGCTTCGATGTTTTTGGCAATTTATTTGGTTAGTACCCGGTAGATGACAGAGAAGGATTCCTCCACGCTGGCTGGCTTTGTGGCCGGTTTGCATCAGATGGTCCGATATCGAACTGGTAATGGTTTTAACTACACCTTTGCTTAGACATACTGGGAGATGTTTTGGAGCACGGAAAACCAAGTTCCTAGAGTGACAGCCAATATAATTCGCTCCACCACAAGCGTAGTTGAATTAGTAGATACAGTTTGAAGTGGCCAGATAGTCTAGGTACTTCAACTTTCAGTCGAGGTAGCACCATCGGTCTTGTAGAGAATAAGACGTGTATTTCGCCAGCACTAAAATTTCTTTGAACTGATTTTTTTAATTTTTTCGTAATTATCTCAATTGGTTCCCTGCCCTTGAATTGCAGTCGTACATAAAGTGGCTTCTTGTTTACAGATAGTGAGTAGTCCTTTTCCACCGCTTTCTTTCTCATGTGTTTCCTGATAAATTTTTCGGGATAGCTATTTTCAATCAAAGTATCATATACAATGCTTAGTTCATCTTCAATTACTTCTTCTGAGCATATAGCTCTAACTCTGTGACTGAGGGTCTTCACTAAATTTCTTTTAAACTTGAGAGGAACGAAGTTGTAAAAATGTGTATATTGTCTTGTCTATGTACTTTTTCTATGCAGATTTCTTTTCATACAATCATCTGGTTTTCTTGTAAGGAGGACATCCAGGGAGGCAATTCTGTTTTGGGATTCCTCGTCGCCTGTGAGTTTCATAGACGAAAGTTATTCATTGAATTCAGTAATTATTGTACTCCTATCCGAATCATTATCACAAAGAATGAAGGTGTCATCCATATACCGGTGATAAAATGAGAACTTTCTGATAAGGTTGTTCAAAGGTCTATTTTCTAGTTTTCTTAGAAAGAAATCAGCCGAAATGGGACCCACTGGGGAACCCATCGCCACCCCGTCTACTCACCTGTAAAGTGTGCCGTCAAATTTGAAATTTACATTCATGGTACACCTTAATAACATTTCTTTTAGGGTTTCGGTAGGGATGCCAGTGTTTGTCGACTGGCTATCCACATGTTCACATATGCAGGTAGCTGTTTCTACTAGAGGTATTAGACGTTATGTCCAGAGGTATCATTGTTTTGTCTTTGATATTACCATGTTTGATTTTGTCTACAAATTCAAATACATCTTTGACGCTGTATTTCACTATCTTCTCATGTAAACGTTTGAGAATATTTACTAACCCTCTAGCTAGAGCATGGTAGGGCGAATTTTACATATCAACTAACTTCTTTAGTGAACGCTCAAAAGTAATTACCACTGTCGCACTCTTTCGATGTTTAAAGGTTTAACATGGCCAGAATCGGTTACAGGATTTCATCATGAGCTGACATTAGTCAGAGGACCATTGGAAAACCTGAGAGTACTGGACAGCTGTTTCCTCCGTCCTAGTTTGGGACTCTTCAGCCGTGAGCATCCACCGGGATTCGAACCCAGGACCTTCTGGTTACAAGGCGAGCTCGTATACCATTAAGTCACTGGGACCCGATCCAATGGCTAGCCCATGAATTGTAACTTCTGTCAGTTCACGATATAGCGCAACCGCTAGCCAATGTTTTCTGCGAGTATTTGTCCTCACACCCGACCTGCTGCACCCTAACAAGTCACGACTTCTCAGAATTGGCCAGAATTAGTTTAGTGATTTACTCATATAACCTGCTAAGTTAAACGAACAGATTAAATTAGATTCAGCAGTTGGTTTTTGAGACACATTTTGCGGAATATGCGAAGTCAGTAGTTCAGTGACCTAGCTCCCCATCATCACAGCTTTAATTACCGTAGCATAATATGGAGACTAATTAATGAAACAAATACCGTCTCCGATAGAAATGTCACCACCAACATCGCCTCCGCAATTTCTGATGTTTTCTTGTAATAAACCATATTTATGATAAAGTTATACGTTTACAAAGATGATAAATTGATGTTTCAATATATCCCATAGTCATTAAGTATATTTATGATTTGTCCTCTTTATTTTCTTGAAAGAATATGTCAACTGTTTTCCGTCATAAATGTCACAAGCCATAGTGTAGACAGTTTCTAATGAAATATTCATTACGTAAGATCTCATGATCTATAAGAAATGCGATTGTATGAATTATTGAGTAGCTTTGACAAAATATCATATCATACTAGTTTTATCAAGATTTTTCAGACATTTTGTGGAAATGAACAGTCGGTAAACAGATTTCAGTCTCCAAATGTTTTTGTGGCATCTTTCAACAGAACACATAGATAGTTTTATGCTTTACTCTGGCGCTGAATGGAAATATCGAGTGTCTATTATCGATGTGAATACTGTATCACTCACTTCCTTAATTAGACGCTGAATGACAGCGGAAGTGCAAGTGGTGGAAATGCATACAGGCGTCTTCGCATAACAGTCCAGAATCTTTGATTTATCTGTCATCTAATAAGGTATACTTATCTTAAAAGGATAAGTTGAGCAGTTCAAGAACATTTCAAAGTTAAATTCCCTTAGGTTCCAGGTGGAACATATAGCGTCAACAGAACATCTATATTTCACTCAATTCTCTGGAGTCCTATTTTGCTGACTCCACAATTGACCCTACTAATTAATCCTCTCCACACTCGATCTCTTCCATGTCATCCTCATACCTACGCCCCCAACTCGAGTGATGGCCTGCAGTTTGCGTCCAGTCCATCTCCATATCCTTCGGAATATTTCCTGAGCAAACGGTTCTTGATTCGTTCGTCCATGGAGCTTGAATTGCGTTGCAATTTGATCCGCACACATTATTTGCTTTTCCTGAATCCAGTTTGTTCCGGTTGAAGTTCTGGGTCTAGTACATCGAGTGCATCTTCTAGTCTATCGGGGATGATGCGACTTAATGTTTTACTTGGCGTCGGAAAGAGCATCATTCCGCGCCAGTTCATTCAGTAGCCTAAGTCTCACTTCTGTAGTAGTCTGACAAGGTAGTCTTTCATCCATTCACTAAGACTTCTGCGTTTTTTGCTGTCCTCTAGCACTTCTGTATTAGTGGTATTTCTGGACGAGTTGCAGGTGATGGTCGACTCAAGAGTTCTCCGATGTGATCAGCCCACCACCTAATTTATCCCTCCTCCTTGGTAATTAGGTCCACCTGACCATCTTATATAGGTTTCACCTGTGCTGATCTGTTCCCGAATAGCGACCTGGTTATCTGATATAATGTTCTGAGGTCCTTTTTTTCCTGCAGCCTGTTCAGCTTCAGTTGCCAATGTGTCGTAGAATAGTCTTTTGTCTTTCCGAGCACTGTTCTTCACTTTTTCATTCAATGCGATGAACTCTCCTTCTGTCGTCCATCTTTTTACTGGTTCATCTACTGTTTAACTATTCTCCTCTTTTCTGTTAGTTTTCAGGTATCCGTAGAGTATCATTCCTTGTCCTGCTTCCTCTTTCTTCTTCTAGTGGCTAGACAGGCTTCCCCCAACATAACTTTCGTAGAACTCCAGTGTTCTTCAATACATTTTTCTTGAATGAGGCCACATAATGCTTCCAACTTTGCTCTGACAGCTGCAGTGAACCTAACTCATCTAGACGCGTATTAATTCATCTAAGTCTTACGACTGCCCATAAAAATTAAGAAACTAAATGTTAAAAAATTCGTGGATAGGTAACATTTTTGGCGGTCTGCTAAATAGATTTGCATAGAAACATCAGATTAATTATCAACAAAACATTTTTGTACTCTACAGAATAATTTAATTTTAGCTAGATTTATAAATTAGCTAATTAAATCCTGAAAAATTATAATTATAATGGATATAATGCAAAAGTCCTGATACTAATGTAAATGCATGTGCATTGACATATATTCATTTATACGTGTTCTCTTTGTTAGTATGTATTAACCCCGTATATCCAATTAACTGACATAACAACTACTCAACTGCTCAGTTAACATTCTGATTTAACAGATACATACTCAGGCAGTACGTTGTATATATTAAGAATGACATTTCCTCAAT